CGAAATACACTCAAAAGCTGCTCTAAAATGCAAACCCTTCGCTCTCAATCATCACTTGCCAGGGGAGCGGCGCCGGTGCTGCGGCCAAGCCTGGCGGAATAAGGGCCGTCCTCCTCCCAGGGCGCCGTCAACCGCCAAGCAGTGCAGTGGGGCTCACCTGGCTTTGGCGCGGCGAGCGTGGGCGGCGAGGCGGCGAGGGCCTCCGGGGCCGCGGACGGCGGCGCTGCGCTGCACGGGAGGGCGGAGGGCGGGCGACGCGTCTCCGGCGGAGGCCTGGCGTCGAGTGAGGGGCTGCGGGGGGCTCGAGCCCTCCGCCCTGCGCCGCCGCGGGGCGTGGGGCGTGCCGACGCGGGGGCGTGCCGGGGGCGGCAGGGAGGGGGGCCCTGGTGGGGGCGGCGCACTGCAGGGGAAGGGGCCGGAGGGCCCGGGACGCGATGCTGGTCTGGTGCGTAGAGTCCAGTGTTTGGTGTCGCCGCTGCAGACGCGCCTCCGTGCTTGGTCGCAGTGTCCTAGGTCGTGGCTGGGGTGGGCAGCTGGCGTCGAGGTCAGTGCCACCCCTGGGCTCCCAGGGTGACCGGCAGGGTGGGCAGGTGCCTGGTAGCGCACCGGCCCCGTACCCGCCGCCGTACGGCCGTACCCATATCAGACAATAGTTGAATAATGGTGTCTCCTCGATGTCATGTCGGGTCGTAACTCGGGCGGTGCACCCGATGCGTACAGAGAAGCTTGGCCGGGCACGCGACCGCGCCAGGCGGCCCAGGCATAACCACACAGGCGGGGGCCATAACCCGTGTCATTACACGAAATGAGATGGGATGTGTCCAGTGACGGCGCGGAAGTAGTGTATACGTCATACGTACTTACCAGCCGCAGTCCCCAGGGAGAGCACGAGCTGCCGAGTACTACTCACCTGCGCAGTGTTGACCCGACGAGAGAATGGCGGGAATACTCACCTCCATGCACTGCACGCACTGAACTTCTTAAACCGCCTTATATCAACCGGTGCCATAACTCACCTGAAAAAAGGGAAACAAAATTCTTAGAAAAACACTTTTAGAAACCAGCAAAAACTAAATCCAGCTATCACTGAAGGAGTCCTGTTTCTCGTTCAGATTCAGTGACATGTTTTTACATCACCCAGATAGAGTGACGTGATTTCTGCATTGCTCAATAAGAGTGACATGTCTGCGTTCGTACCACGAAAACATCGCTGGATGGGAGTCATCTCAGCCAAGATCACTCATAAAGGGTCATTTGAACGCCCATTGAATGACTAAAAAAATCTCCGGACAAATGCATTTTTTGGAGAAAAGTGTTTGTTTTGCGTTATTTTCCGATCCTACAGGCTTGTAGTGAAGTCAAAAAACAGGTTTCCGACTTTCAAGATTCAAGATTGTCTCGTATAATTGCATGTCGAAAAATTTTCTCGGTGGCTAAAATTTTAAAGTAACGGTTGGGAGAGAGAAGTCACAGTCAGCCCCGTGGCGTAGCTACGACATCCCCATAGCCCGGAGTCCTATGGCATCGGCATCCCATGGCATCCCGCCCCATATGAGCGCTCTACACGTGATGGGACGGCGTCCCGCCCGCCCCGCCCCGCCGACGACCGACCTTGGCCGGAGGCAGTGCCACGTACGAGGCACCGAGGGTGGGGCCCGGCGCGGGGGCGACCCCTCGGGGGACCCCTCGAGGGACCCCTCGGGCGACCCGCCGACTCGCGCCAAGCATCTCTACCGTCACCGTCCCGTCCCGCCCCATCTGCTTGCCCTCTTCTGGGCGGCGCGGGACGGCCGGACGACACACCAAAGTTTCAGTCCCGCGCAACGCTCAACTAAATATTTACTGTGTCCCTGCTCCTCCCCCACCACGACAGAGAGTCAAGACGGCACGGCCCGTGGCCCGTCCCGCGGATATTCGTTTCTTTCGTTTCGGCTCGTGCGACATTTTCCCGGCACTGCAATCGACTCGTGACAGCGGCTGGGTGACCCAGGTGACCTGGATGTCATCGCCATCGCCTTGGCTCCGGCACGCCGCCCGCCCTGCTCCGCCTCACCCCTCGGGGCCGCCCACCTACCATGGCGCACGCAAGTCGTCCCGCATCCTCTGATACGTGTGCTGCCGAGTCCTCGGCCCAATCCGCGCGCCAGGCCGGATCAATCCCAATCCGTTTCGTTCGGTCGGCGTAGAAATCTGGAACGATCCAGCCGATCTTGCGAACCAGAGGAGCAAACGTGCCGCTCTACTAAAGCTGCGTCCACAGTTGGGTTGCTGACCTTGCTGGAGCTGCTAGGGTTGATGGTACGAGAAGGAAGACATAGTACGCGCTGCCGTCAGAGTGCAAAGAACGATGACGGCATTGATTTTGTCTCGTCATACAGGCAGTCCGAACAGACCACCCGTGTCTAAAGCAAAGCTACCACACATATTCCCATCTCGATACTCTGCGTCGATGACGACAACTGTCCTGCATTACCCGAAGTCGAGGGTGAAATCTTTTTTGCTCAGAGTGAGTATGACTGTGTTGTGTACGTGTTCGACCAGGAGAGGGGCTCCACATTGGTCCGCCACGGCGGGGACGCGGCTGATCTACACTCCTCGCCTGTTGCGGCGGTATATATGCGCCGTCGCGGCGCCGCGCCAGAGGACGCCGCCAGCGAGGACGCGGGGCGTCGCGACGCCGGCCGGCGCTACTCCGCGCAGCGAGGGGCGCGCGGGGGCCCTGGCGCTGGCGGGTGGCGGGCCCTGGTCGATGTGGCGCCCCCGTGCGACGAGCTTTGGGAAACATCTGCGGGAGAGCGGGCCTTTCAGCGGGGGCGGGGGCGGCGAGGAGAAAGGAGAAAGGGAGGCAAAACAAACACAAAGAAGGGGTGGTCGAGCGGGCCAGGCGGCCCAGCCCCAGCCGCCCTCTCCAGCCCAGCCCTTGAGCCCTCTCGCCAGCCAAGCGCGCGCGCCAGGGGCTCCTGCCTGGTCCGTGATTGTATAAACAAATCGGCAGCTCAACCCAGGTCAGCCAGTCGATATCGCGCGCGCCACTGTTTAAGCGAGATAAGGATAGCGCCGGCCGAGCCGCACGACACGAGTGCTCCGCCACCAGCAGCAGGGGCCTGGCTGTCCCAGGAGCCCAGAGAGGCCAGTAGTTAACGGATGTGCCATCACATCAAGAGAGCCTGGACCGATCGTCTTCAGCAGACTGATTCCGAAGAACCCTCAAGGGGCGCTGCCCTATGAGTGCGACAAGGACGGAGCTATACGAAAGGTATAGGAGAGGGTTCTTCGAAATCAGTCGGCTGATCGGGGCTCGACAGCGCTACCTAGCGATACGAAACGAGGAGTCCGCCTATCTCGCTCAAAGAAGGGTTGCTTCCTCGCGCTCGCGCAGAGGCTCGGGGGTAGAAAGAGAAGCAAGCGAGGGAGGGGCAACATTGGGGACAATGGCGCTCTGTCCAGCAGCGCCGCGCGGCACAGCCCGGAAGGAGGAGGAGGAGGAGGCCGAGGGTGGGGAGGTGCGCGTGCAGAGCAACAGGGTACGGGGGCTGCGGGGGACGCGGGGAGGGGGGGGGGGACTCCTCGAGGACCCCGAGGGGCGCGGCCGGGCCCGCGGGCCCGGGGGTGAGTCACAGTCACAGGCGAGTAATGGACGTTTCGCGTCGCTTCCCCCCACAGCAGCCACCCCGGCGCAGCCCCCGAGGCGACGATCCAGACACCACTCGGCCACTTAGAGCCCAAAGAGTCGCCCAACACCCCGCCGCCGGATGAGCACGCGTTTCATCCGCCGGATATCGAAACCATGGTTTTCAGATAGGATTAAAAATGATTTGTTGAAACACTACGCTGAAACTTTCTGACAAAACAACGGCATGGAGAATTGTTTAAGAGAATTCTCCAAATTTTCCAATTTTCAATGAAATCGTTCGATAATCCTTCTCTTTGGTTGACCGTGGGAGATAGGGAGATGGACCCTATTCGTGCGGATTCGATAAGTGTGAGGCGATTTACCCAGCCGGAGCCGCCACAGCTGCAGGATGAGCTGCGTGTCGCTGAGTGTCAGTGTCGTCGTCGCGGAGGACGAGGAAGACGAGGAGGAGAAGGCCATGGAGCAGCGTTCGGCAGTCAACTGCACCGTGCACTCGGCGACACACCAACTGCGCCAAAGGCCACCAGCACCAAGTGCCCTAGGCCCATCTATCCCTCCAGGACGAAAGGCCACTTTCATGGGCAGAGAGAGGGGGGGGGGGGCAGAGGACAGGGCTCTGGAGTGTGACACTTGCTCACTTTTGTCACGACGTACGTATGTCATTGCTTTGAAACGACCCCCACTCCCGCGACTCGTGCAACTTCCTTTGACGGAGGCGCCCAGCTGAGGGCGGGAGGTGGCTGCAGGTAGCGTTGGGCCCAGTGAGAAATGCAATACCGATAAATGGTCTATTGACAATCGACTGAGTCGAAACCTACTTCACATCAATGCGCTTGGTCCCGCAAATCGTCGAGTTTTCAAAAATATTCGATGTTGGATCAACGTTGATTCGAAACCTCTTCGCTCACAGGGAGGCGTTTCTGTTGGCTGAAGCCATACGAGCTGGAATGGGAGGGGTTGGGGGAGGGCCCGGGTCGGACACCCACGACCACTTAAGATCACCTACAGATGTGGCCGCAACTGTGTAGCAATTGACAAAAAGTTTCTTTCAGAAGATTACAAAAACAATGTGTAACGACTGTGATATCAATCATTCGTGGAGAATTCTATCCCCAGTGGGCGGGGCTTCACATCCCCTCCCCTGGTCCCTGGAGAGAGGAGACCCATAGCGTGCCACTGCAGGCGCGCCCGGTGCCGGTCGCCCTCACTTTGTTCAGCGAGTTGATAAACGTCACCACTTCCTTAATTATTTGATTACTAGTGTCGCCGCGGAGACGCCCCGGGAGGTCCAGAGTCATCAGAGTCAGGCCTTTTCGTGTGCTGGCTGATCATGAACGATTAGGGGGACATATCGAAATGATGAGACTTTTTTTACATAGGAAGTAAGGATTTCGTTTATTTGTGTATGCCTTCAATAATTTTGGCACAGAATAAAATGAACAACTTTAACAAAAGCATTTTTTATGTAGGGTATTTTTTTAGAAATAGAGGTTTGCTTTATTTAGGATAAGGGAAGAGGATAATCATATAACTATTGGTCAAGAAGAGGAACACTACAAAAGTGATTACAAAATGAGATCAAAAAAATAGTTTGTTAAAAGACTAACGTCTAACGTTTTACAAAGACTTACTTAATCTAAAAACAGACTTATAATATCAAAAGTTAAAAGTTGGCAATGCGAGAATCTTGGCTAGAGGTCCGTCCATGGATAAAAAGTGAATGACACTGATAATGAATAGGCTAACAAAATGCTACTTTCAAATGTTGAAAATACCATGTATTGTGAATGATCTGAAGTACTAACCCAGCTCTCTACAATTATTATATAAATGCATGTCATATACCTATCTAACTGTGAGTTATGCATGTAGATATGGAAGGATTACAAATAATTCATTGGCATAATAATTATTTACCTCTAAAGGTACGGGAAGAAACGGTTATATGCGCTACTAAATGTCGAAATTGGAAAAAATCTTCTTAAGTTTCTCGAATGACAATCATATTTCGGAAGTATTTCATTGAGGAACGTTGATAGGCTGTCCAGAGTGGCAAAAACACAGACAAAACAGACAGTCGCTATGGCGCCTGGCAAGAGGCAAACCATCGTACATGGCCGCATTCACATTCAGCTTCACAATTTCTATATGTCGCTGAGTCTACTTTCCTCGCCGGCATCTACACGTCTCGCTTTCGCATTTACTTATCCCAACTGCAATGATGGTGGTCAGCTATTTAGATAAAAGTCGATATGTTTTTGTCATCAATTGTCATCGGTTCGAGGCACAGGAAGAAAATAGTTGTTTAGTTTTACTAAAAAAAATAATTTCTATATGTTAGCAGCTTTAAGATATACTGAATTAACGACGAAAGTCACGTAGCATATCTGGTCAAAGATAACAAATAACAAAGTTAAAAATGAAGTTCAGAAAATTGTAAAGTTTGGATTTGTACATATGAAAACGGATTAGCTCTGGCGTCCTTTTGATATACAATTTTATTTATACAATTGATTCCCTTGCATTTATTTACCCGCATAATAAAGCCTCTTTTGCGCGAAAGGATTTTACAAGTTTTTATTTTGGTTAGAGTCAGGATCACAGAATCTTATCACCGCCGCCGTAGAACATGTTTTTCTTTTTTCCCTTTCTTAACAAAAAATGCCTATAAAATCTCAACTGAATTTTGAACTTACTTAATTTTTTTAAAGCTGACGGCAGTTACACATTAGCTTGGTCGAGTCGAATTTCACTCTTAGAACCAATATTTCTATGTTTTAAGGCAAGATAAATTTGGTCAAATTTAAATAGCACCACCTAATCATCACCGCACAAGAAAAAAAAAAAAAGTCATTGTTTTATAAAGCTTTGGTGTCCACGATATCACTTTGTTTTGAGACGAATCTCGCTAAAAAAAATGCAAATGCAGCAAAGTAGCCTGGGCCTTCGCGGGCCTTCGGCATTTCCTACCCCTCCGCCTCCGCGCATGCACCGCTGCTAACTCGATCAAGTCTCGTGACCCGCAGGCGCCCTTCGCGGGGGTTCGTTATGCAACCCTCCGCTCCGTCTTCCTTCCCCACTTCCTCTTTGGCTCGGCCATGGCCGCCAGGGGGCGGGGGCCGGCGGGGGCACACGGCTCTGTCGAGTGCATCAGCGGCGAAGAACGGGGTGGGGTGTAAGTAAGCAAGGCGCCTCAAGGCCCTGTAAAGCTTTCCAGAGAGCGTCAACATCACGGTACGTCTTTGGCTTCGTTCTCAAGGGCGAGCTTCACAATCTGCCGGTTAGACGATTATGATCACAGTCGCGCGCTGGCACGTTAGTTATATTGGCAAGACCCCGCAAAGAAAATAGTTTCTTGACGTAGCGCATTTTTAAGCAGATCATGTTCATCACAAGTTTTTGTACACTTATCTTAATATGGAATCATTTGACAGAGTAGATTGAGCATTTTAGCACGCAAGTTACAAGGTCACTTAGCTTATTAGGACTGCTTACTTAAAACTTTGGCAAGATGAAGGTATACCGAAAGTTTATCACATGTTCTTTGGCTTATAAATAGGGAAAGTGTCGTCTAATCTTATATATAGTAGCATACTGGAGAGATACAAAGTCCTAATTTAGTTGAAAAAAATGCCAGAGCGCTGAATGCCAACAACTGGCCGAAGATTTTCATCATTTTTTTTGATTACCGGATGGAATTTCCTGCTTAACATTATGTTTATTGTACGACAGGCAGGATGACTAGATTGATTTTCACTTCAGTCTCTTTCGGCTGTGTGTCAGCACATCCGCAGAGTGAGTGTTTTTTTCATACACATAACAATAACAACAATAACAACAACAGCCTACGGAAGAAAAGCAGCTCTAAACAGCAGTCCTGCTACTGGGGGAGGGGGATAGAACCCCCGTAGCTATGCTGTACCGAAGACAGCCGCGCGGGCGGGTTGCCTACACTCGCGGCGGCCGCCCTGGTCCAGCACAGCTACGGGGTACGGGGCGGAGGGCCCGGGGGGGAGGAGCACTAGATGGAGTTGCGGTACGTGGGAACGGCGGGCCAGTCCACCTCGTTGGCGAGCCGGCGCGCGCGCATGGGCCTGTCCCGCTCCAGCAGCAGCGGCATCAGCCCTCGCAGCGGCGGCATGAACTGCGTCGCGTTGTGCAGCATGTAGGAGGGCCGGTGGTGGCGGCCGTGGCCCGGGTAGGGCGGCGGGCTGGGCGGCGCGCGCGGCCCGGGGTCCCTGCGGCCCAGGCAGCCGCACGGCAGCGAGCACACGGACGCGTTGTCGTCCTCGCACTCCACCAGCTCCGTGTGCTCGATGTGCTCGCCGTGGCCGCCCTGGCCGCTCATGATGGAGCCGTTGGCCGTGATGACGTCGCCCTCGAGGCGCACGGCGCCCTGCATGGCCTGCAGCGCCTCCGCCTCGTCGCGACGCTCGTCCTCGGTGTTCATCGTCACGAAGCGCAGCACCAGCAGGTTGAGCGACGCGGCCACGATGGCCAGCCCGAACAGGATGAAGATGAGCGCGAAGGCCACGTACTCGGGCTTGGTGGCGAGGGCGTTGTCCTTCTGCAGGGCCACCATGTCGCCGAAGCCGATGGTGGTGAGCGTGATGAAGCAGTAGTAAACCGAGTCGAAGTAGGTCCAGCCCTCGTAGCGGCTGAAGGCCGCCGCACCACCCGCCACCGTCAGCCCGGACAACGTCGTCACCACGCAGATCAGGTTGATCTCGGAGGCGTCCGTGTCCTTGCAGTTCATGACGCGCTTCACCTTCTGGATGACGTGCGATGAGAACTTGTTGAGGCGCTCACCGATGCTCTGGAACATGACGAGGCCGAGTGGGATGCCCATGATGGCGTAGAACATGGTGAACAGCTTGCCCGCCACCGTCGACGGCGTCGAGTGGCCGTAGCCGATGGTCGTGAGCACGGTGGTGGCGTAGTAGAAGGCGCCCGCAAACTTCCACTGCTGGCCCGCCTTGTGCGGCTCCGACTTGAGGATGATGGTCTCGAACAGCTTGAAGTCGTCGGTCGACACGGAGTACTTCTGGATGAGCTTGCGCTCCACATAGTCGAGCACGTCGCGGCGCCGCTTCTCCGTCTCGGACTCGAGCGCGTCGAACACGGCCGCGCCGATCAGGAGGTACGTGAAGGTGCAGACGATGAGGGAGAGCGTCCGAACGTTCTGCTTCTTCATGGCGCCGCACCCACCCTCCCTCCCTCCCTCAGTCAGTCAGTCGCAGCCCCCGAGGCGCGGCGGTGCGCGGGGTGGGGCGGTTTGTGTCTTCAGACTTCGGTCTCGGCTCGGCTCGGCGCGCTAGCAGGACCAGCTCGTCTCGCGCCCCGCACCTGCGCACACATACAGGGTGAGAGGTTAGAGAACAAGCGTCACTATTTCTTGCTTTTGCTTTTTTAACAGCACCATCTCTCGGATTCGCCAGCCGAGCCGAGCCGAAAACCAACAAATCTCTAGACTACAACCTGCACAGGTCGAATGATAAAGGCATTATCAGCGCGTAAAGCATAGCGTGCGGGAGCTGGGCTACATCATCATGGGGTCATAAAGGTCACCAGGGGCGCCCCGCCGCGCATCATCTTGCAGTAAGTTTTTAGCGGGCTGCAGCAGCAGCGGCGGTGGGGCGGGCGGAGTGCGGTCTGACGGATGTTACTTACACACGCCAGTCGACCGGAGCGCCGCGGCTCCACGGCCCCGCCCGCCCGCCCAACGTCTTTTAGTTGCACGCCCCACTGGGCAGGGCACGGCAGGGCCCGCGGCTGCGACGTCAACCCCGCCCAGAGAGACGCGGCGTATACAAGACGGGGCAGGGCGGGGGCAGGGCGGGGCCTGGCCGGGGAGGGCGGGCGCCATCCGCCCGCACTCTTTCCTCCCCGAATCACTCATCTGGCGCCCCATCTGGGTGCGGAGCTGGAGCAGACTGCCTGCCGCAGGAGCATGATCCATCGCGCAGCCACAATCGGCTACAATCGATAACCCGCGCTTTCGCCCACCGCTCTCTTCTCTCTCTCCTTTTCCCTCTTTTTGCGAACAGACTTCACATCCCGCTCGCTCTCGCACCACAACCGCGACAGAGACAGATCGCAGCGGAATGGCTGCAGCCCTCGCCGAGGCCCTCGCCGAGGCCCTCGCCACACTCCGGGCCTGCACTCCACTCCGCTCCGCCGCGCGCCCCTCACTCAGACCAGCCCCTTCACCCGGGGCGCAGCGTCACGCGCGTGCACGCGTTTGCGTGAGTTAGGGCGGCGGGGGAGGCCGCCACGAGCGGGAGCGCAACGCGATGAAGAGAGGGAGAGAGGGGAGGGTAAAAGATGGACCTTTCAAACGACACCCCCGCCGCCGCCACCCCCAGCACCTCTGGCTTGCCTCTGGCGCACTGCGCAACTTAGTGATCCGCACGGCCGGGCCGGGCCCAAGCTGGTTGCTGGACCGGGATCAGAGCGGGCCGCAAACTCGGTCAGGAACACGTCGCTGGAGAGAAGGTGGTGGGGGGGCGACTGAACACCACGCCACGGCTGGAGCAGAACAGTCCACAGCGGGGGGCTGCCGAGCTCGAGCTCATCGTGGCTCCAGGGAGTTGCGTGGCACGTCGCCAAGGGCCCCCCGCCGGGAGGGCGCGCGGCGCCGCGGCCTCCACCGGCAAGTGGGTGAAAAACGAACGGCAAGCGACAAGGCCGGCGAGGTGTCGGCGGCGGGCTGCTGCTTGTGAACGTGCCCGCGACCGGGCCGATGTAGGAGAGGAGGCAGAGCCCTCGCACTCAGCACAGAGCCCTCGCAGGAGCACCCACACCAGCGTCCCCCCCCCCCCCCCCGTAGAGACCATCGGAGCGGGGGACAGTTACTGTGTGTGCATGGTGTGTATGAGTGTGTGTGTGTGTGTGTGTGTGTGTGTGTTGGGGTGACGTCACGGTGGGATGCCGCACTAGAGCCGAGAGGGAGGTCGGAGAGGAGCAAGGAGGGAGGGGGGAGGGGAGGGGGGAGTGTGACAGGAAAATGAGGACACACTTCTAGTGCGAGTGTGCGAGCAAACAGAAAATGTACACGAGGGCACAGCAGAGTGCGCTCGTGCACACACAAACACACAGTGCAGTTTTGTTGTCGTGTTGTGGGTCTGACCGGCGGTGTTCAACGACGTTACGGTCGTTAAGCCCCCCCATAGTCTCCCGAGTAGGTGAACGAACAGCTCGGCAATCAGCCGAACAGGACCATGGCGGCGCGCGCGCGTTAGCCGGCGTTAGCAGCAAGCGTTAGCCAGCGTTAGCCAGCGCTCCCCATTTGCATCCAGGAGGTGGAAGGGGGCCGCCGCGCGACGCCACGCCGCGCCAGTCGTCGCCGCCAGCTCTGGGTGCGAGAAGTGTTCCCCCTAATGATTGCGGAGCACGCCCAATTTCAGCCAATTTGGTCCACATTTATATCGCCGCCCGCCGTACCGTCCTTACGATCTGCAGGCGTGGCGTGGCGTGGCGTGGCGTGGCGTGGCGTGGCGTGGCGTGGCGTGGCGTGGCGTAGCGTAGCGGTGCTCACACACACCTAGAGGGGCGCGGCGGCGGGCGGCGGGGCTCGGCCGGGTCACGGGGCGTGGGCGGCGAGGCGCGGCGAGGAGCGTCTTCAGGCGAGGATCCTATCGCGCCATTGCCTCTATGTCTCTTTCTCTTTCACACACATACACTCGCACGTAGTATATATCCGCGGCGGCGGGTACTCCCACGGCTATGAGCCTCGGTCGGCGGCGCCCGCGCCCGCGGCGCCCCCAACATTGCGCACACCTACAGGGTGTCCCAGAATACTTGGCGCCGGCCCTGCCCCTGCTCCCCTCTCCCTTCCTCTCCCCCGCTCTCTCCGCTCATTGTCCCCCGCGAGAGGAGAGACAACAGACAATGGCCCCAATGGGGGAGAGAGGCGCTCCCCTGCGCTCTCCGCCGCCGTCACGTCGGCGCCGCACTCGTGGTCCCTGATTGCACTGTGTGCTCCTGGGTGTGCTCCTCACTCGGTGCTCGCCGGGTGACAGGAGACGAGCCCCCGTGGGTGTGGTGGGCGGGGCGGGCCGCTTGCCATGAGGTCCCGAATTACTCGCCGTCCAAACGACCACACCCGTAAACTTGGCGGTCAAGTTCGGGTCCCCCGAGTCGCGCGGGTGCGCTGCTGCTGCTTCGGGTCGTTTCACGCCGCCACCGCCGCTGCCGCCCTTCCCCCTCGCCTCCATCACAACACTGATGAGGATGATGTCCTTTTGAGAGGTAACGCCCTCTACTCCACAGAAGAGCGGCCCTGTAAGCCTCAAAACCCCTCAAGTCGCTGCATCATAGAGTTCGGCTGCCTCCACACACCACCCTCCTGCCCCTCTACAAAGTCTGCCGGTGGTCGTTCCAAGTTTGGACGTGGCCCAATAAAAAGAGTGGCGCTATCGCCTTCGTGTAACGACCGAACAATGGAGATTTACAAACATACTTCGATGACAGTGACGTTGTACAAAGGACTACTGCATGACGGGGGGAACTAGATTACATCCCATTCCATTTTTGCTATCTCGAGATAAGAGGTTTTTTTTTCACTGCGGTGGGAGGAGCCGGGTGGGGCAGTTTCAGACGAATCTATATATTCCTCTGGCTGGGGCGGGGCTTAAGCCCCCGTCCTGTCTCGTGTCGCACCGGCGGTGCAGCCAGCTATCTCATTCAAAATCAGCAGATAGTAAAACTTGGACAGCGCGCCAAGAGGAATGGGGGCGGGGAGCGGGGAGGGAAGATGAGGACAAACTGCTTCTCAATCGCTCTCGGAAGGCATGATTAATGAAAAAAGGTTTCCCCAGTTCTCTACAGTGTATTATCTGCCCAACATTCAGGCAGAATGATAGAAATTAATATTTACCTTTAATGAAAGTTCACCGTACTTCGTTTAAGTTACGCACTCAGTGAGAAATGAGTTTTGGAGCGATATCGAAACGCTAACGTATCGATATCGAGTGTCGTAAATTGTGCCGTTAACGACAAAAAATTTAACGGATTTCGGTTCATTTTCGACATCTAAACGACATCTTATCGATTTTTCATTCCTCACCGGGGCAGTCCCTTCATGTTACTATCAGACCCCATCGTCACAGGCCAAAAGGCGCTAAGCGTGTGCACGTCTGCAATGCGGTACAGCATAAGACGACGAAGCGCACGATGTGAATGGCCCTTCTGGTCCGGTACAGTCGTCGTGGATCGCACAGGATACTAGACGGCAGTCAAGACGCCCGTGTTGCAATAATAGGCCTTGCCTTGTGTTTTCGCGCCTCTGTCTCTCTCCCACACTGTCCGTGCTACACCACGGGGGGAGCTGCACTGTACCCACATCATCTCTTTCGGCGTCGAAACAAGCTCAAGGGTCACGGTCGACTGCTCTCCACATCGGCTCAGCAAGCGCTTGCTCAGCAAAAGTGCAATCGTGTTCAGGGCAGCTCAGGGATTTCCAGAAAGTGTGTCGGTTTCCATCAGATTAATTCGGCGAGAAACATCCCCGGAGCTCAGCGCCTGCGAGGCTCGGGGTAGGCCACTCCGCAGTACACGGGTGCACTGCAGGCCAGATGTTGCCTACCTACCAGGCGCTATGAGAGCTTGCATTGGCTACACGGCGAACGACGGTCTTTCTGGATCCCCCCTAAAGTCGCGAAGGGTAGCCGTTAGCCGTCCTCCGCCTCACCGGCGCGGCATCGCGACGCTTCCTAGTGCATCTGGGGGCGGCGCCGTCCGCCGCCGCTGCCTTCGCCCTCCGCCCCCACGACATCGATTAAGGTTGGCGTATTCAATTAAGCAAGGCGAGGAGGCAGGAGGTGGGGCGGGGAGGCAGTTTTGGCATAACTTTAAAGGGGGAAGGGGCGCACCCGCCGGTGCACGCGAACAGACTGTGTGTTTAACCGCCGGTCCCGGCGGAGCGAAAGGATCCCGCCCTCCCCGGTACAGTTTAACCCGGCCTGGTGAGCGATGATGGAGGGTGAGCCCCCACCTCCTTTTCCGGTGGGTAGCACCCAAAGCACCACCCAAAGCACCCGCCGGCGCCCGGTTTGGCACCGACTGCCCTGCGCGTCCACGTCCACACCGCCCTTGCAACATTGCGCGCGATCAATAATTTTGCCGTTCGTTTGTTATCGAAACTGACGTGCGGGGGCGGGCGGCGGGGACGCGGCCGTGTGGCTTCGCAGTGGAGTCGGAGTAATGATAGGGATATCTACTTCGGAGTCGGCTATCCAGGCGGCCACGTCCGTTCTGGAACAGGTGTGATAAAGAAACTCCGCTTGGTGCAGTAGTGCGGGGCGTGGGCGGAGCAACCCCTGCCCTGGGCGGAACAACCCTTGCCCTGGACGGGGCAAGCAGGCGCATTACGCAGCGCGGATCCATTTTTTGGCCCGTTGTATTCCCCTTGCCGTGCCACATTAGGTCGGACTGCTCTATATTTAACAACGTTGCGTGGAGCCAGTGGAGCGAGGGAGGGGAGGGGAGAGGGGGGCACGAAGAAGGACCCCGAGGGACACCGCCGCCAGCCGGGCCGCCGGGGGACGTACGAGGGCCCCGTGAAGGGGTAGCCACCCTGACGTGAGGAGGGGTGTGTGCGCCCGGCGAGGGGCGGGGCGGGTTTCAGCCTGTCCTGTCACACGTACCGTGGGGGCTCGGCCCGGGTGCCGTGAGGTGTGGTGCCACTCTCATGTCGATACACATATGCGGCCCATGGGAAGAGCCAAAGCTGCATGTCGGAATGATAACAACCCTCCTCCTCCTCCTGGCAGACACGCGGGGGCGCCTAACCCGCTCCGACAAAGCATGCAATAGCATGCATGCAGTAGCCGTGCACGGGAAGGGATCGCATCGGCACCATAGACTCGCGTCACGGAACGCCCGTGTCTCACTTAGTGTTGTTTCCTTTCCGACGTCGAGGTCGGCTTGGAGTGAATAAGACACTATGCAGCATGCACACGGCATGTGTGACCCCGAGGGCGGCTTGCTCGCCTGCAGAGGAGGAGAGGGGGGGGGGGCGAGAGAGACAAAAGTTGACCTCCCTTTTTCCCCACCCGGGTCACACTGCGGTCCAATCAGTTTATGGACGCTAGTTAGCAGTTTTATCGGGTAGCTGCTGCTTTAATTGAATTAAGGCGGGGCAGGCGCGTGGCTCATGCACTGCTGCAGGGGCTGCGGGGGCGGCCCGCGGGGGCGGCGCGGGACGCTGCAGGCTCCCGCTCTCCCCCGCCGCTGCCGCTGCCCCCGGAGGGGCCTGGTCCACACAACCCGCACCGCGCCGTATCGATCGGAGGCCCCGACGCAAGCAGGCAAGCAGCGCGAGCAGGGAGGGGCTGCGGGGGAGGGG